AAGCTCAGCCTAAAAAAGCTCGAGCTCGAACTTTTTTTTTTCGGCTCGATTCGTTGACATAGCTATATCGTAGTCTGTCATAAAATTACAATAATAAAATTAATAAAAAAAACTACGATATGCTAGGTATCATAGTCTGTCATAAATTTTATATTTGCATGTGATGGCACTGAAATTTACATTTCAGTGAGCCAATTTCTTCACACCAATACAATTTATAATTAAGAAGACAATGATCCACAAAATTTGACTAAATATAAAAAAATGTATAATATAGCCCATGCTTGGTACACATTTTCGAAGTAACAATACATTTTTACTGTAGATGTGATGGAAAATATGTTATTGAAAAAGAAGGAAAAGTTATTGATGTAATAAAAAATATGTGATTGAAAGAAGTGTGGTTAAAAATGAGTAAAAGAATGAGAATAAAAAAAATGATGTGGCTCAAATAGAATAGAGACAAGAGAAAAATTCGTGGAACCTTTAACAATTTTTTATTAGTCAACAAAGAAATAAAATTCGAGTACAAGCAGTGGAACTGTGGAAGGGACCTATAGAATGTGCACATTACCCCGCGCATCACGCCATCATCATGGACGCGACCTTGACATGAACAAGGCTTTAGCCATGGAGTAATGCTTCTCAAACAGGGTTAATTGACCAACAAATTGATAGGGTTTTAAAAACACTTACGTGGCAAAAGAAACCGGGTACATTTTGGAGGGAATACTAAAATAATAAATAAATAAAAACAAAAAAAATGTACGTGAGTTGGCCGTGAGCAAGAAAGATAATTGGGGATTGCCTTAATTGGAGAAACTCGGCCGAAAATTGGAAGAAGCTTGTTGGTGACAATTTTCCTTCCAGCCAAGAAATGAAATGAATGATTCAGAGCATATGCGAAGTCCCTCCTAGAAAGTTTGCTAGAGAAAGCAAAAGGAGATCTCACTTTCCACTGGTTCCGGTGCTGCGTTTCTACCTGCGGGGATGTGCCGTTCGGGTTGGCTTTGCCGATGGGTCCTTTTGTTTAGTTTGTGTTTAGGAGTGTGTTTGGTAGGGATTTTGGGGGAAGAATTGATTTTTGAATAGTGATATGATGGGAAATCCGGAAATGTATAGTTGAAAAAGAAGAAAAAAATATTGATGTGATGAAAAATATTATTTTATTGAAGAATGTGTGGTTGAAAATGAGAATTGATTTACTGTAGAAAATGAGAATCTATACCAAATAGGCTCTAGGTTAATTTTGTGTTGTTTTTAGTGTTGTTGTCTTGTGTTGTTGTTTTATTTTCCTTAGGTTAGTTGGTGTGTTTAGGTTAGGTGTTATTTTCGTTAGGTTAGTTGTTTTGAGTGCTCGCTCTCTCCTCGGAGAGATTTAGAAGTTTAAACAATGTCCGTCACTGTGTGCGGGGGTGCCAAAGTGTAGATTGCGTTAGTTGACTTATAGTCGAGCTTTCCTGTATTGATAAGTCACATTTGTAACTTCGATGTGGACTGGATAGTATTCCACACTGTGTTTCTCAAGCTATTTGGCTTGATTCATTTGTAATCGGTATAACCGTTTGTTTAATGAAAGTTCTTATATATATAAAAAAAAGTTATTTAAGTTTTTTGTACTTGAAATGTAACCGAATATAAATTCATCTCTTACGATGCATGGTCAGACATTTGAGTTTGAAGCTTCTATTATGGATTTCATCATTTTAGTTTCATATGGTTTCCTGTGACATATTGAATCTACCAAATATTACTTTCACATGAATGGAAGCTTCACTGTGAAGCTGATATTAGGAAAATGCAAACCAATATGAAGATTCACATGGACGTGTAAGAAATTTTGAACTAAACATGTCAATACAACTGCAGCATATGGGAAACATGCAAATTAAGAACGCTACATAGGTTCCATTAGTTCACAAATTCCGTTAACATAGAGCTTCAAGTACATAGTAATGCTACATATACAAAAGTAATGTCACAACCCGAGAGCTAAGCTTTATCTAATAATCAGATCGACCCGTCCCTTTGGCATTCGCTTCCACGCTACCATTTTCCTTGCCTATTGTCACGTTCACCAAAAGATGCGAGTTTTTTCATCCAGTAATTAATAGAATCACAACTCCAGTGCATATACCCTGTCATTTAAATGATCACTATGGGTGAAAACACGCATATGGAGACCACCGATGAATGATCTGACGTCGATGACCACCGATGAATGATCAGCCGTCGATAGATTGCTCATCTTTTCTAATATAGTTCACAAAACAAACACCATTTTTCTTCAAAAGCTCAAATTCACCAATTAATATTGAAACTTGGAAGTCACTTCATATGCAGAATTTTAATCTCATGACTTCACATATAAAGCTGGGATCAAATCTCACGGCCAATCAACTCTGCAATTGTGATGCAGGAGGGTCCGAGTCAGACGAAGCTGAGTTGTCAGATAACTCGTTGATGGCGCTAACGTACCATGAGTTGGCGGATCGACGTAAGAATGGAAAGTAATCGACGACATTTCCTAATTGGGGTCAATTTTGAACACGTTTTGGTATT